CTCAAAAATTAATGCAGCTATCTACAGCTACTTGTGATGATTTTCAAATTAACATAAAGGTAAGAGAAAAACAATCTAACAAATTTCGGTTTTACCATAAGTCATTTTTGTTTAAGCTTTAACCTGTGAATATATTAAATCAAATCTTCAGATGCAACTCAACTGCAACGTTCAATCATTAAACGCGCCTCTGATAAAAGAAAATCTATGTCAATTAAGATTGGTTTTTCAGTATATAGTCCTTCTATAGTGTTAAGAACTGCTCAAGTGCGATAACATTATTTGATATCGTGTTTAACATTTTTACTTTAGTTACATATATGATTATTTCTTAAACATTTGAAAACTCAGTAGTGAAACTACACACCTTTCTTGGGCACCCATGCAGCCGGCCCCTTCGCGGGATTCGAACCTCAGACCGAACTAACAGTGTTCAGCGACGTTACCGCTCGGCCGCTGGCGGGCCCTAACTGATATAGGAAAAGAATAAAATGTTTCCTTAATTTGGTTAGAATAGGCAAAACAACAGGTTCCTGCGCATATTTATGAGTAATATTTGAAAACTCCTAGGAGAAACCAAACTGTCGTAAAATTTCGCCCTCCCTCTAGGAGAAGGGGAAAAAAAAGGATTCTCGATTTTCAAACTTCCTCCGTGTAACAGGAGGAAATAAGCGTAACTTTGCTTTCTCCGGTACCGTAAACTGGCGTAAGGAAAAGGGCGTTATGAAAACTGTGCTTCCGCCAGTTGAAAGCTGATGACATTGAATGTAACCCTTTGTCAAGGCAAACAACTACTAATATTCACAGGAGTGTCGAGCTCTTCAAATCATTAGAGGAAAAAAATCACCACCCGACAGCTAATTACTTTTATTGCTATTTTCATATTAAATAAAATTAATTCCTGCTCATTTTTATAACCTGTTTTGGATAGAGGGATAATTTAATAATAATTTCATGCTTATAAATAAAGAACTGACAAAATGACTTCACAGAGTATGACTAAAATCCTATTATAGCGATTACTATTAGTTGATAATTGAAATAAATCCCTAAGTTTTGAGCCATACCATTTATTCTTACGTAATATTTTCAAAAATGAACTTCCTTTATTTTACCTAAAGATTCTTTAGCTTTCTCATACCATTGAATGTAGTTCTTAAATCTTTAACTATTAAAAATTACTTGTTAGACACCCGACATTTTTGTTTTCACGTACCGTTTAGAGACAGGCGTTACACTAATGCTTCAGATTAGGAATTTTTTGCTTAGGAAAACCAAACAATGATACTGTTTTTCATCTGTTATGTGTAGTAAAAGTTTGATTAGTTTCACCTAATAAAAAGGCTGATTCACCAGTGATATTTTTTAATTCCAATAATTTTATTGTTTTTTATCAATATTTTTTTTAATTTAAAATATCGAAAAGTCTTTAATAAATAAAAGATAGTGAGATAAAAACAAAACTAATTGTGATTTAGATAATTAGTAGTTATATATGTTATTATAACTATTAATTATCTGAGATAATTAGTATACAGAATATTTTACCATTTATAATATTTTACCATTAAGAAAATGCTACTTTCCAATTAATTTTTATTAACAGTCTAATCTCCTCCCTTTATTTTTGTTTTTCGTTTATTTTGATCAACAGATCACGCTAAAACTACTACTTGATTTTTAATCACTCTTTATTTATTATTTATTTCATCTATTTCGAGGAAATCTCTTTATCTCTCTATTTATGGAGCATTATCCCTTTTTAAAGAAGAGCAACCCGTAACATATTCCTTCAAAGTTCATAAAGATGTTCTCTAATAGTAATACTAATCTGAAGAAGAATTTGGCTACTTTTAAGCAAATGCTGGTCTTTACTTCTCGTCTTTCCTTCTATATGGTTTAAATTGAAGAAAATTTATAGGAGCATTCGACATTCTGTTAATGAATTTACTTTTCTTACGGAAAAAAGTTCTAGTTTAGATTTCACTTCATATTGCATCAAAATATTTTCTTAGGAATGTATATTTTCCATACTAAAAGAAAATAAAAATATCTTTGTGCATTCTGGTCTAAGGATTTTCTGATTATGCGATCCAAAATTCTACGTATGTTAATAAAACAAAATCCTCCTTTACGTAATTTTAAAAAATAAATAAATCCGACTCATTATTTTTACATACATTCCCTTTGTATATTTCTCAAAAAATGAAATAACTCTGGTTTAATGTTTTAAGATAGCAAAAATTTTTAAACATAAACATTTAATTTCTTATCAAAGGTAATGTTATTTTCAATTCCGTCATATTTTAATAAAAAAATGCGTTTATTTTAAATTTTTAAGGTATGCCAGAAAATTTACGACAAAGTTACACGAAGTATTCGGAAAGCCAGGAGATGCAATAGCTATCAAATGATTTCAGTACACTTCTTCGTTGAAGATATATACGTCTGGAAAGTCTCGTGACGTTAGTTCTGGTCAGGGATGGACCTTATAAGACATGGAAGGAACATAGTTCTATGTAAGGAAGTTCTATGTGATCAGACGAGCGCAGGGATGCCGTGATGCGAGACTCTAGTGTTAAGTGATGTCTCAAATATCGACAATACCGTCTGCATGAAGAAAACAAGAAAAGAAAAACGTGCCAAAAAAAAATCTGAAAGCTTTACAGATTTTGTATTACGCCCGGAGGGGCGTTGTTTTTATTTACATACACATAACGGATTCGAGAGCATTTGGGCTAATGTTGCGTTGGGCCACAAATATTCAAAAACAGCCATCTTTCGAATTTCTGATAAACAGTCTCCAGCGCTGGAGAAAATGTTTTTTTTTTTTTTTTTTTCCTTACAGTGTTGCCATTGCTCTCTTTGAATTCATTCAATTTGTTAATCAAAAAACTCGTTAAAAATTTGCAAAAATTTCACAATAAAACAAATTCGAAATTCACAATTTGGGCTTCCAGTGCCCATATTCCGGTGGAGGACAACGTTATTCAAAATTTGATGGCTCTAGGTACCGTTGTTTTATCACAATGCGAAAAACTAGCATCCAATCATGCAAATTCTTTAAATATAATACAGGGCGATGATATTTGGTGGCAACAATTTGAAAAGTGATTCAGACTTTTATAGTGATTCAACGCAAAATCCTGTTTTAAGACTAATAGTTCCCCTGGGCTAACACTCTTTGTGCTAAAACATTTTTAAAAAAAAATAAAACATAGACTCGGTACATTAAAGTATAAAAGAATGAAATAATAAATAGAATTCAAATCGAATTTTTGATTTTTTTTTTTTTTTTTTTTTTTTTTTTTTTTTTTTTTTCTTAAGCTTTGATTTATTAAGTTCTAGCTAATCTGGAAAGAGTGTAAAATATCTTCTACTTTGCATTATTCCTAAAAACTACAACAGCTTTTAGTGCGCTGTTTATTTCGTGGATTTAAATGAATTTTTTTTATTTCTTAATCATTATATATGTGTATGCAAACACACAAATATAATGGGTAAACAAACTGAGTAAAATTTGCGATAATGTTGCAGATTAGTAAGGGATGCCAGATTATTAACAGATTATGAGAATTTTAAGTAAAATCTATATTAATCAAATTACTTATTAAATAATGATAAATAATTATTAATAATAAAATTATTAAAAATTATAATTAATTATTAAATAATATTAATAAATAACTTATAATTAATTATTGATTAATAATAAGTGCAGGCAAGTAGAAATGAAACAAAAGTATTCATATAAGATTAAGTGCGAAATCTAATTTCAAAGTAAATATGAATAAATAAAAAAAGTTAATTTCAATTAATTAAAAAGTCAAAAGTTAATAATTTGATCACAATTTAACATTAGCAGAACTAATCCTTTCCTTTTGGAGAAAGGAATAAATTCTCTTATTAAGCAATGAAATAAAAATAAAATTATAAATATAGTTTCTTTTTTATCGCTTAATTATTCATTTTTGAATAGCAATAATACTTTTACTATTTAATCATATTCATAGAAAACATTATGTTTAAGTACGTTACAGAAATCATTTTAAATGAATAGCTTTGAATTTCAAGTCAGGTACCACCTAATTTCTCTTTCATATTCCACCTAATTTCTCAAAAATGTTATATTTTTACTGAAAATACACCTATAAAAGGAAACAGGAAAAAATTAATCACGATCTAACCATTAAATATTGTAATAGTCTGCTTCTCTATAAAGTAAAGAACAGCAGTTCAGAATAAAATGCGTTTATTTACTGCATTTTATGTCAACAGAATGGAAATTTCAACTGTTTTTAAGAGGAAGAGAAAACAGTATTTTTCGTTCAGCAATTTTTTGGCAACAAGAAATTTTCGAAAATTTTAAGGAATAAGTTTATATTCTTTTCTAAATAAAATATTAAAAAATATTATCTCTAAAAGCATTTTTATAGTAAAGTAAATTTCATTTCATTTCAGCATTATTATCTCTTTTAAATTGTCTGTTATAAATAAATATATTTAAGATACATTTCTTTAGAATTTTTTTGAAAAACATCTTAATTCTAAGTAAAAGTTTGGAAGAGAAGTGGAAAATAGTTCTTTACCGATGATTCCTAGGACTTTCAGCAGAAACTCTTCCACTAAATCTAGGTACGTTAGTAAAATAGCTTAAGTTCTTACGTCAGAAAATGGTAATTATACACTTTAGAAAATACTCAGAATACTGCAAATAATTTTTTATAATAGCCTTGAAAACATTCTTCAGGGAAACAAGGTCAAATTCCTTTTTCAAGACTGTAAATGGTTAGTCATAAATGCGTATGAAAGTTAATTAAAATTCTAAAAATGGAATCAGAAGAATAACAGTTTATTAAATAAATTGCATTTATTGATTTGTATGAGCTCAAAGTCATACTCGCAGAGTCTTCGCCGTCACGCTTGGTTGCGTTTCACGTTGCTACGGAACAAAGGAAGCGTATCCTTTATTCCCCGTCCATGTTACAAATGGCTGGCGAAATGAACCGCGAGTTTAGTTGCATTCTCGCTACCGTTGTATACAGATCTGGTTCCGTGTTTCGGGGGAATAAGCTTCTTAGAGATATCGTGGACTTTTCGGCAAATGATATCACCAGACTTCTGGGAATAACATCCTCATGGAGTTAAAAGTAAGTGTTGAGGGTAGAATTAAAGCTCTGTAACTCTGTTTCTATTGAAATTAAGCCGGATTATTTATTTTCATTCTGATGCGGGATAGTGGAACCTGAGGTTGCTAACATTATTTAATTATAAGCAAAGTGCTGAAAATCATTAAATGAATTTATATAAGGGCAAGGTGTAATTAAATTTTATTACTCCTTTTGAAATATCCATAATGGTTCAGAAAGATCAAGAAATTTTTTCTTAAAATATATCTACTGCTTAATTTATTACTGTAACAAGTACTACAGATCTTAACTTGAATAATTCATTCCCATTTTTAAAAGTGATGACTTTTAGCTGCAAATTCGAAATAATTGAATTCTAAATTATCCAAATTAGGAATTAATTAATATCTTGTAAATTTCTTCGAAATAACAAAAATTATAAACTCTGTACTATCAAAAACTAATTTTCAAAACATAACATAAATAATTTTAAATTAAAATCCGATTTACGTAAAATTAGGAGTTAAATGATTTTTCATTATGAAAATTTCATTTTTCATTAGGAAAAAAAATTAATACCGTTAAATGAAGTAAAAGCATTTAAGGTTTTGTATTTAATTTAGATTATGCAAAATTATATTTTCTTTATCAATTTAAAGAGATTTGCTTCATAATTTAAGAAAATAAATTCAGGAAAGTAAGGTACTAAAATTATGTATTTAACTCGTTGACTGATTTCAAAACAAAACATCAATATTTATGAAAGCAAATTTTAACTCTTAATTTTATCATGTAATTAGAAAAATTAAGTATTAACTTGTCTGAATAAAAGGACCTAGCAGACCCTCATTTAGTTTTCGTAGTTGTCCGTAATTTTATCTTCCACAGCAACAAATGGCTGTCACTCCCTGAGTATTTTAAAGTAAGAAACAATTTTCATAGATGAATGATTTTAGTTTTTCTTAACAGGCAATCATCAAAAACTGTTGCTATCATTCTATAAAAATAAATGAATGCTGTTTCATTTGTTAATGATATATCTGACTTGAATATCGTTTATTATTAAGCACTGCATTTATCTGATAAATCTAGCTGACAACGTAATTTCAGAACAGTTAAATTAAATTATTAGCTACATTTACCTATTGATAAATTGTAAATTTTATTATTCTGAAATAGTTTCCATACTTGTTCGGTTTAAAATTACATTACGTTTTTAGATTAATTATAGTTTACTTAAAAGTGTTTTAAGTATTATTACTAAAGAAATGTAAACTGGAACTCATTGAAAAAAGGTTGCAGGCAAACGCTTTTTCGTAAATGTATAATTAGTATTACCCGTGTACATTCTAGAAAAGAATTCAAGATTTTTGGTTCTAAAGGAATTATTTCATTTAATTGATTTTAAGCGCATCATAAAAGTGTAGCATATAAAGAAGTATAAGCATAAATCATGAAAGAGTATGGAAGTAAGCATCTTTCATACATTCATCTTTCACGTCTACAAAATACACAAGCGTCAATGTATGCTAAACAGAAAAAAAACTGAGATTACATTAGTTAACAACAGCTTTAAATCGGATTCACTGCAGATTAAAATTTACTTTTCACCCGAAATATGAAATCTTGTTCTGCTTTTAATATTTTTGCCATAGGCAAACGTTACTGAGAAGTAAATGTGGGTTATTTTGCCTTGAGATAAAAGCCGATAATAAACAGTTAACGCAGCCACGAAAGAAATAAAATTAGCCACCTCCATTGTTTTTTATAGTCAGCCAGAAAAACTGTAAAAAAATAATTTTTAAACCATAAATCGATAATGCCAGCTTCAGTGGTATTTTAAATAATTTAGATATTATCATTTCAATTTAAATACTTTCTAAGCTGCTTTTTTTTTTAAACTTCTAAGCGTGTAAAATCATCTTTGATTTCATTTTAGTGCAAGTACAAGCATATATATAATTTTCTTGCTTGTACTTGCATATATATAATTTTCTTTAAAATTATATATATGCTTGTACAAGCATATATATAATTTTAAAGAAAATTATATATATGCTTCATATATATAATTTTCTTTATATATATGAAATCATAATTTTAAAGAAAATTATATATATATATATATATATATTAGTTTTCCTGATAATATTTTTAAAAAACATACAAATTTATAACGCTGGAACGACCTACATTTATTGTCCAAATTTGCTGCTGCGCACCAGTAAATTACCGTATTTTTAGGGCCCACCAAGGGTCAAGTGATTAAGACAGTTAAAAGCTAGTACTTCAGCTCGGGCTCTAATTTCGACCTAACAGGCTGGTTGTATAGGTGTTTTAGTGGTTTCTTCTATATATTACGTACGAGTCAGTTTCTCTCACAAAATCCTTTATGAAAGCTCCCTTATCTTAAGCAGATAGCCCTAGTCTGCCTCGTTTGTCATATTTAAACATACTTTACTTTTGCATGTGTATTACAGAATAAAATGTGCAAATATTAAGACCTCGGAGACTCAAAATTGGAAGTAGAATAGGAGTGTATTGATATATTGTAATATGATAATATTGTGTTGTATGAAAGTTAGTTAGAAATACCCAAGAATTTAGATCACTTGGTGTTACAGAGGTTAGGTTCTTTGCCCCATATTTTCATTATCATGTTATTTTTCCATTCAAGAAAAGTAAAGGAAAGGGGAAAAAAGTTTTTTCCCTTTACATACATGCAGTTTTTTTTTTCCAAGAAGAAGCAATTAATCAGAATTACTGCCGCGGAACAATTTTTAACAATTTAATTCCTGTAGTATTAAACACTTGAAAAAAGTAATTACAGTTCAAAGTAAATACTTCAAGATTTGATTCTGTCTTTCAAGGCAGCTTTCTGTGTAAAAGCAGTTCGTATGGTAACATAACGAAAGCTAGTTGTCAACTCATGTAGCCAGTTTGTCTCATACAATTAGGAAGCGAAGCCAGGACTAAACTAGTAATTAATCTTCTAAGGATGAATTTTTTTAGTAGGTAAAAGGGTTCAATTTCCTGCCCATGCACAACTCATGCCAATTGGTTGATGAAATAGGGCTCAGCCAAACATTGATGCATCAAGAACTGCAGCATGAAGTTCACAAGGAATCGTAATGGTAGGACATGAGAAAATGGTAGAGCATGCATCGTGGTAGAGACCATACGACAGAGCATCCATGCAAAATTTCAGCTCTATAACTTAAAATTAAATTAAATTCTTAGATTAAAAATATATGACAAAGTTTTAACCGTAGTTACAAATACCATGAGCGATCAAGACAAAAGCTTATAAGAACTATATGTAAACTTCGGGTATCTTAAAAAGTAATTAATTTTTTTCCTGTTAATGATATCTCAATTGACTATTGTTGGTTAACGTTTTCTTTAAATGACTAATTTTGCTTAATTAATTATCCTTTTGTATTAGAGCGTTCAGGCAGAAATTTAAAACCTACGGTGCAGACTTGTTACGGTGCATGTCTTATTTACTTAGCATTCAATATTATTCAGAACAATTCAAGCTTACTGACATTTTTATTTTAGCATGCATATTTGATCTAACATTTAGACGATTTTGTAAATTTAAATTTACTGAAAAGGGGTTTGTAAGAAATGCTAGGGACAACTAAAAGTGGCAATCTAGCACTTTTAGTGTTAAATAAACTCTAATAGCTAGTCTCGAAAAGAGAGGATTATACACGATTAATTACTTCTATTATTGTATTTGATATTTCGGTAAAACAAATAATTTTATTAAAATATAAATTATTGCTCCAAATTCATTATATAAGTGAATAATAAATGCTTGAGACCTTCCTGAAAAATACTTCTTAAGTAATTTAAAATAATTGAAAATGGGAAAAATTTATCGAACGAAGAAACTCTTCAAAAAATTAAAATTTATTATAAAGACAATATTTTATAAGTCAATACCATAAGTCGGAAGTTTTCAACAGCATGGCAGCGATTTATCCGTAATTTACAACAATGTACATACAATCCTATTTAAAAAAAGCCGAATGAAGAATGATGCTCAAAAAAAGAAAACAAAAAATTAGAATAATGCAATCTGAGGGAAATTCTGTCATTTCGGAAATGAAAAATTTCAAGAGATTAAAAAATATTTTTTAAAATGTTTAAATGTAAATTAAAAAAAACAGTTTTTTTAAAGATTCTTTACTAGTTGCGTCACATATGGCTTTAAAACACTTTTTACTTCCTTCACATTTCAACGAAAATATCCATTTTGAACCTTCATGGATCTATTCGGACTATTTTTTGCGTGATGTCTGTAGGTAGGGACAGATTATTCTGTCCATATAGACAAACATATTTTTTTCCAGAAACGGACTTCTTTTCCTGAAGGCCCTGTATTTTTCGAAACGGATTGTAAAATGGATTTAAAATGGATTCAAAATTTTCAGGGATGTTTTTCGTGGCCATCTGTTCGTATGTAAGTATGTATGTATGTATCATCACTCAAAAACCATTAGCAGTTGAACGTTAAAACTTTGTATATGGGACTGCTACAACAGCTAGTTGTGCATCTCTTTTTTCGTGTCGTAATCGGCGATACCAAACGTATATATATCCACCCCCCTACCCGGCTTAAAAGTTCTTACCTGGCCTTAAGTTTCGCAATCATTATCGTAGTCATTCACCTCCAATTACAGAAGTGTTTTAAGTGTGAAAAATATTTATGTTTTGGTAAATTTTCAAAAAATTAATTTTCAATAAATATGGAAATCTAACTACATATCTAATATCAATTTATATGTGTAGTTAGTCTAATAATATCTATTATTATTGATTTTTGTGTATAGTTTAATAGTAAAGATTCCATATAATTTAATAAATATGTAGAATTTTTATAGGCCGTACAAGAAAGTCATGTTGGGCCCACACCAGATTTTTTTCTTAATAACAACAAGGCTGCAAATGTTCATAAAGATTATCACTTGAATATATTAAATATAAAATGCATTGTAATTCATATCAAATAA